CTCTGCCCCCAGCCTTTCTGTGCCCTCTCTCTGCCCCCAGCCTTTCTGTGCCATCTCTCTGCACCCAGCCTCTCTGTGCCATGTCATTGCACTGCCCCCAGCCTCTTTGTGCCATAATGCTATTGCTTTGCCCCCAGCCTCTCTGTGCCATCTCTCTGCACCCAGCCTCTCTGTGCCATCTCTCTGCACCCAGCCTCTCTATGCCATAATGTCATTGCTCTGCCCCCAGCCTCTCTGTGCCATCTCTCTGCACCCAGCCTCTCTGTGCCATGTCATTGCTCAGCCCCCAGCCTCTCTGTGCCATAATGCTATTGCTTTGCCCCCAACCTCTCTGTGCGATCTCTCTGCACCCAGCCTCTCTGTGCCTTAATGCCATTGCTTTGCCCCTAGCCTTGCTGTGCCGTCGCTGTGCCCCAGCCTCTGTGCGTCACTGTGTCCCCAACCTCTGTGCCAACGCTCTGCCCTCAGCCTCTGTGCCATGCTGCCATCTCTCTGCCCCCAGCCTCTCTGTGCCATCTCTCTGCACCCAGCCTCTCACGCTCTCCACACATTTTGTGAATATGGAGGTTGCGGATCATGATTGATGAAAAGTCTGTATGGCATTTATATTAAATTTATACAATTATGCATATTCACAAACCACGAACACAAAGTTCGCTGTTCACATTTTATATTTACATTAGTTGTGTTTATCGGGTTATATTTTGTGATGTATTACACAGCTGTTACTAGCAGAGTAAGGGTGGTGGGGGGGAGAAGGGAGGGTGATTGAAACACTGTATGTATATTAATTATTTTAAGCCCACAATATTGCACATTTATATTTAATTAAGCTATGAGTTAAGCTGTTTACACCTACTAGCATTCTGTGACAGTATTTTGCGTTACTAATAGCCGTCATGCTGTCTGTCTGTACACTGTGCTGAATAAAGAGTTAATATAAGAGTTGGACATTAAATGGGAACTTGGCGGTGGTTGGGTATATTTTATACTTTATGACGTGGATGAATATTTTAGATTGGGTGAGGGGCCAGGCAGTGGTGTATCCTGGTTTTGTGCTGCCCTAGGCAGGACAAAACTCAGACCCCACCTTCTAAATACAAACACACACACACAGTCAGACACACACACACACACAGTCAGACACACACACACACACAGTCAGACACACACTCCAGGCGGTGCACCATTCTTGTGATGGTGAAGGTGTGGGGCAGCCCTTGTGAGATGGAC